CCATCTCTTTTAGTACCCTGGGATGCATTCCATCAGGGCCAGGAGACCTATCAATCCTTAGCTCCATTAGCTTGCCCAACACTACCTCTTCTGTAATTATGATTGTTTCCAGGTCCTCACCTACCTTCGTCTCTTTGTCAATTACTGGCATGTTATTGGTGTCTTCCACTCAGAAGAAGGGTCCCGACCCAAAACGTCAGCTTTCCTGCTCCTCTGATGCTGCCTGGCCTGCTAAGTTCCTCCAGCTCCACACTTTTAAATACAGGTCTCTTTTGGGTTAAACCAGGACAAACTCAGAGTTCATTGATAGCCAGTGATGCTCACTGTAGTTTGTAAGAAAGAGTTGGGTTATTTCCCAGCATGGACTCAAACGTTGGCTAGATATTGAGAGATCTTGACATGGAAATCAAAGTGGGTGTCTGGCAAATTCAGCTCATTGCTTGCTCTCAAAAACCTCTGTGTTGGACACAGGACACCAACATCTCAGGGCAACTCTATAAGAACCAGCCAACACACCCCATATCCATGGACATTCGTATCTGACATTTCCTGCCTCTAAGATCCTTCATGGCCCACCTCCAATTCACTTACAGGATGCTACTGCCCTTCAATACCGCACCTTAAGCTGCACCAGGAACCATGATTGTAATGCTGAGACAAGGATATTGTGCGCTCAGGGACATGCACCCAGATCATTAACTGGACCAGGCTGCATCACCATGCTGTTTGCTTGCTGTCATAATGCTCACTGTCTCTGAGCCAACCTGGATGTTAACAGCATCTCTGCCTTGCAAGCACTTTGACCGCTCAGCCAAAGCTCATATTTCTCCTGCTTTGCCTTCTTGTTTAGCACAGACATGTAAGCAGGAAGCTTGTCATGGCCTCAATCAAATTAAGGGGGATAACCTTCACTCAAGGGGTCCCAGCACAGTAAGTCAAGGGCAGCATTTGATACCAGTCCAGATGCTTGGATACAGGCGGTTAGCCACGTGGGGTGGTAAGAGTTAGGATGGTCTCCACAAAAGGATTGAAGAACAAAATACTAGACAGCCCACCACCCTCTTGACTCTTTCTGCCCTATTGTGTGTTGTTTTCCTCCTGCAATGAGAAAGAGGTGAGTTTTAGAGGAGATTGAAGTGGGTGGCACAGCTACCACTTTTCTGTACAGATGGGGAAGTGTCCTGTGTGAGTGAGTAGGCCAAGCATAGGTCATGCGGGATTATTGGTATGGGATTTTGAGTGGGTGAGGACAAGTGAGGGAAGGTGCTGAGGGCATTGTTGAGCATGGTGGACCATGAGCCTTGGTGGAAGTTGGGTATAGTCGCAGGGGTAGAGTGAGTG